CTACAATACTTTCGATGCCGATGGTTGCCAGGAGAGTTTGCCAAACTACTCAGCGGTTTTGTAAAACGACTCAGCTTCTGAAATCATGAAATTCGAGCTCTGGGTCGGCAGGGTCCATCGCAGGGATCAGTTCGTCTGCGATGATGTCCGCGGCATCCTCACCAACGCCCATGGGCGTCTTGGGATTTCCGTTGACAGCCAGGGGTCTAGCAGCAATCCTGATCAAGGACCGTCTCGTGTCAAGTTTCTGTCGGTAGAAGAACGGCATATACCTTAATGCCAAACCCCAGACCCCCAAATTTATCATCTGGAAACGTCAGGGCTATCTAGAATTGAGAAGAACATCTGAACATACCACAACGGCCCCGTCAGTATCAAAGCCAGGCGCATTGGTTGGTCTAAACTCTTTAATGCTTGTCCGGTCCAAACCCAAAGCCGTCGCACCATTGCAAAACCCTGACGGAAGCCCTAGAAACAGAAACATCATCGGCAATCACCTTGAATGAGAACACGACTAATGGCAGACTTACGTACTTTTTCGTGTGAACTTGACACAGGCAATGTTGACAGTATAAAGCGTGGCATAGTTGGTGACCGCCAGCAAAGGGACCAACCATCAATGACCATCACATCCTGTGCAATGTTGGCACGCTTGCGTCTTGCACTCCATGTCTCAAACCATCTCAAACCCTAACCGTGGCCAGTAGAAATGGCCAACTCACATGCAAATGTTGGGTTCAGGGTTGCGCTGCCTCAGGGATGATCTCATCGACCGTTCCTGGAGTTGGAACTGCACACCTGGGAGAGGTTGAGTCTTCCAGGACTGGAGTAAGGGACCCTCCAGTGCGAATACTATGACTGCTGTGATCAGTGGAGCCATCCAGTGCTACAGTAGTATCATGACGAGCTTCGATAATCGTGACCAATGTCAGGCCTATTATTGTCGTTACCGTTATTACTATTGTCTTTCTGTGCTGGTACTACTTTCGCCTGAAATGCGAAGGAGAAGCTGTTCCTTCACCTCGTTAAGTGCAACGACGTGGGAGACGGCCTGTCCGGGCTGCTGGCAACCGGCTGCATGCTTCCTTCTTTTAGTCAGTGTACACGGGGGACTATGGACACATTTTGGGGATTGCATGCCTCCGCAACCAGGCTTCTACCAGAACGGCACCGTTACGAACCATCTCGAATCCAGAAGTGCAGCCAGCAGTTACTGGTATCACTGCCGGAGAACGTACGATGTGTTGCAAATCTATGCATAGCAACTTCTGTAACTCTAGACTCTAGCTCTTACTGGGTCGTCTGGAACAGGCTAGGCGGCTAGTCATTGAGAACTCCCTTTTCCAGGCTGATCAAAGTCGTCCCACTGGTGCAATCCATGTGGCATGTCGTCACACCCTACACACCGCGGAGATTTGAGCTCGCGTTCGGTTTGTTCCGCTGCCCGAAACCAGCAGCACCCAGGTGAGTCGAAGCTGCAGCTAGCTCCAAGCCAGCTCGTCGTGGCGCTAGTTCCCACACCTTTTGACTACTCATCGTCTATAACGGACGCTTCTCTTGCTGGTGACACTTTTGCGTGTTGCACTTGTTGTTCACCCTCTCACGCCGTCTTGCGGGCTGGGACTCTGGACAGTTCCCTTACCCCCAAGTCCACGCGCAACAGAGACCATAAATAAGACATTAAGATATATGGATACCAAGGATGCCGCATCTCCCAGCTTTCAGCATTGAGCGTAGTATATATCAAGCCCACGCTCAACCACGCCTGGCCCAAGGTGGCAGGAACGCTTGACAGGCAGACTTGTGTCTCCACCTGGCGATCATCGCCGGTACGCAGAGTCACCTTGACAAAGAGTTTCGAGTGTAAGTTGAAGCTAATGCTCTGCGCTGCTACTCATACCGAAGTATGAGTATGTATTTTGCTGTATTTTGCTTGCCTCTTGGTGTTTGGTTCTTTATGAGGGATTTCCGGTCGACTTCAAGGGACAGCACGTAAAAGGAACAGTGATGCAGGCTGGGAGGGCATGACTGATGCATCAGCCCATGTGGGCATGCATGTGTGCTTGAGCACAGGGATGGTCGATGCAAGTATACGCAAAACATGGGTATACAACCGGGAGTGGTTGTTGAGGCTCAGCTGACTGCCAGAAGCATCATGAATGCAAGTCCGAATACGTGCTTATGTATATACCTGTATCGACACATACATGCTTCTACATGCACATGAGACATACGTGGTAAGTTCACCGTATGTATGCATGCCTTAGTTTGTGCGGGTCAATGTAGACTAGTGCCACATTGTGCATTGAGTGTATTGATAGGGACTTAAAGTGCATATGTACATACACATATGCACATGCATGCATGTACATCGAATTAACGTAGTATCCACAGTGCAGACTGAGAAGGGTCTCTTGTAGATCAACAGCGCAGGAACGGAGCGTGCAAGGGTAGGCGGGATGAGAGGGAGAATGAACGATGGCCAAACCCACAGCTGAAGTGATCCATCACCCCAGGTTTCTGTTCGTACGACCAAATGGATTCAAGTCCTTCTGACGGTTCACTATGCTAAGTCCTGCGCTCAAAATCCAGGAGTGTAACATACAACCCTACATCGACGACACGAAGGAGGAATGACGATGACACCTGCGAACAAGGCAGCCTTCCAGACTCTCGATTACCAGACATTCACACACATTCTGCAACCTTTGAAGGGGCTTTCAGCAAATCTTTGAAGGGGCTTTCAGTGCAGGCGAGAATCCGTCAAGCACTGGGCTGTCCCTGGTCCAGAATTCGTAGAGGATAGGCCTCTGGCAGAGTTTCGTGCAACTGCTTCGCTGGTTGGCTGAGGCTTTAATACCGTCCTGTCGCAGAGTCAGAGCGCTTCTGCCAAACAGTGCAGGAATCAACTTGGCCTGTTCTTGCATTGGGCGGGATCTCCGCACGGCAAAAAAGACTGGCACAAATTGGGAACACAAACATTGCAAAGCTAGGCATTAGGGTAGACAGGTTCCCCGTTCCGCCGGCACAGTCGGAGTATTGATGTTCGAGTGATGACTCTACATGCCAATACTTAGCAGATCGACTCTTCTGCCTTTCTGCCTATGTGCTTGTCGTGCCACTCAGCCTCTGCTCACTCCTGATGCTGGCCATGGTAACCGAAAACCCACGAGGCCTGCGACAGAAGAATTCACCAGTGTCCACACCCTGGCTTGGTCATCATGAGACCTTTGATGCAGGCTGGGGCTTGTGGAAGCTGTCGAGCGTGCAGTGATCTTGAACAAATCTCCGCCACCCCACCCTGACCCCTCACCACGAAGTGCAGAACAGAGGGCGCGAAAGAAGAGGCGCGAAAGAAGAGAGAGAGTTAGAGAGAGAGAGAGAGAGAGGGAGAGCTGGAGTGAGAGAGAGAGAGAGAGCTTTCTCGCGAGCGAACTAGCGAGAGAGATGACAGGAATGTGCAAAAAAAATGCCTCGCACGTGTTCCGCAAAGTGATACATACACCTGGTGTTATTGCGACATTGGCACCAATTTACTGCTAGTGCTAAGACCAGTCCGGTACTTATTGTTGCTATTGCTATTCATGTCACTAGTTATGATTGCGACCACTACTGGTGTTGACCCTATTTGCAGTTGCAGAAACTTTACACATCTTTCTCTCTCTCTCTCTCTCTCTCTCTCTCTCTCCTGGGCATGAGGGCGGGTCAACGCCCTCGGGCCTCTGGCCCGCCCATCGTGTTGACGGGTGTGAGGGGTGACGAACGAGTGAGTTTACATAGTCCAAGCTAAAGCCATGTAATATACGATAACGACGACTATGTTTGATCTCACTCTCTTCGACACATGCAACATCATTTCCTCCTTTCCCCCATCATTCCAGAATCTCAGGCTCATAAACAGTAAATAACATCAATTCTAGGGGAGGCTCATGGAGGTCATGATGTATCGAACAGTCCCCCTCAGCAAAAGGGGTGATTACACTGCATGTACAATCCCCCATCCACTTGATTCTTTCAGGTATACCAAGGACAGATATCAGATGCCCCAAGTATGACTATTTCCCCCGATGGGCAGATCGTTACAACAGCTTTGAACGAACATGACGGGAGCTTGTATCACACCATCTCGAAAGGAGTACAACAATGTACAATGAACAGCAATGTCACACACCTAGTTCATCGCTCCCCCCGTTCGTATCTTTGCTTTCATGAAAAAACCGAGGCCCCGGCCGTGACGACGGCTTGTGCTTTGTCGGGGAGAGACTTGTACGTACAAAACAATGGCACAGCTTGCAGGTCAACCGTATAATAACAATCTAGCATTGTTCCCCCGCGACATTTTTGGGCTGTAGCTCGGCACAACATCACCTTTGTTACAATATGGCATAGGGCTTTAGCGGAAATGTCAACGGGAAGCTTCACTGCAAAACAAAGACACAGCACTCCATACGGACCTATAGGCCTACCATATGTACGACCAAGAGTGTTTCCCCCCGTGACATTTGTGGACCGCAGCTTTCGGAGATTCGAGATGGCATACAACTTAAATGGATGTTGAACATCAAACGTAGGAAATAGCAGTATGTATCTCCGGCTTGCCTCGGCCAGTACGGCTATCACAGTGATGTCAGGGAAGGCTGGCTTTATAAAACAATGACACAACACTATTTAAAGACCTGATGGAAAAGATACAAACGTCTGATCACCTTTAGCCTCTCCCGACTCCTGTGCTTGTACAGTAGCAGATATTTCAGGGCCACAGCTCATTTGTTGCAATGGGGGTTTGTTGTTGCAGTAATGTCAAGGAGAGGCTCGACAACAAAACAATGGCACAGCACTCGCTATCAACCTACAGGTCCGACATATGTGCTATCAAAGGTGGCCATCCCCCTCGACATTTGGCTACAACTGGAGAGTATTGGGTAGCAGACAGCATTAAGAACATAGTATCTACCTGGGCAAACATAGAGGTTAAAGTACGGCTTTATCTCCCCCTGTGGCTATGTGCTCCCCCTTTGGTCACTGGCCGCTCTCTGCTCAGATGGGCCCGTTCCGGTCGTAGAAGGCTGCGTGAAGGCGACGTCGCCGGTGTTCTGCAGGACTTTCACCATCACTTCCATATTCTTCCGTTGGTGTGTGGCGGCGCGTGTCGGCCGCATTTCCGAGTCCGTGGTGGCGGTCTTGTTGCCACCATGCTCCCCCGCTCGAAGAGGAGCTCGGTGCATTCCCCCCGTGAGGAAGAGGTCCTTGATCGTGCCCTGGTACTTCGGCCGGGTCATGGTCGGCGTGTTCCCCCGGTGGTACTCGTACTTCAGGTTGTAGCGCCAGCTCCACCGCCTCTAAGGTGTCCAAAAGGGCTGCGTGGACACTGTTGAGGTCCGCGCCAGGCCACTCTCCAAGCTGCTCGCGGAGTGCTTGCAGTTCGAGGATGATCCCCCGAGCTCTTCGTTCACGTCGCTCACGGGCCAGGTGGTTGGTGAGCTTCCCCCGGCTCATCGCGATGACGTCAGCGGGATGGTGCACAGTTTCCCCGCTTTCGACGGCTGTCAGGTAGGCTGTCACATCCACGAGTAACAGCCAATGCTCGCGGTTCTGTGGTTCCATCTGCACGCCTTGTAGCGCTTGCCCCATGCGTCCGAGGATTTCCCCGGTGTTCCTGATCCCCCTGTCATAGCTGTGCAGCGTCGCCTCTGCTGCACTCCCCCAGTTTTGAGGGTTGCCATCCATTGCAGTGGCCATGGCATGCATGTGCCCATTAAGCCACGTGATCACTACGTCCACGTCATGCTGGATGTCATAGTACGTGATGTAGTTATGGTGCTCGGCCGAAGCTAGTCGCTGCATGGCTTTGCTTCTGATTCTTTGCAAGGCTGCTGCGGCGGGTGACAGAGTGTTGTCTCTGCGGGCTCGCTTGGGGTCCGGTTCCCCTGTGTTGTTAAGGGGAGGTGGCATGGTTTCAAGTTCTAAATGTCGTAGTACTTCAGCTTCTGTCTGGCTGTCAACGAGGAGGTCAGCTAGGGCACACTGGGCCAGATGGCTGACCATGGTCCCCCCAGGGAGTTGTGATGCAAGTGTGTGTATTCGTGTGAGGTAGTGCTCGATGCGTTCAGTGGTGCTCGTGGGTGATTGACTGGTAGAGTTGCCCAGGGGTTGGGGTGGAAGGGCTGCGACAAGTTGGTGTTGCTGTGCTGCGTCGGGACTGTCCTGGATCGTCGCGGGTGGTTCGACTGCTGGAGTCCCTGCCATCGAGGGTGGCGGTGGTTGTGCTTGTGGAGTGGGGATCTGCCCTCGCCGAAAGGCCTCAGCAAGGCTGTGTTGCATGAAGGCGTTATCCTCTGTGTCTGTTTCTGCCCCTGTATGGATGTTGGTGGTGGTGTCCGTGCTTCGGGGGCTGTCGGTGCTTGTGGTAGAGGTGCTCGGAGTGTGAGGTGGGGGGGAGGTGGTGCTGGTAGTGGTGGTTGTCTTTTTCTTTTTCCCCCCTATGTCGCGGCCGTCGTGGATTTGAGCAAGGAGATCTGCCGGCTGGGCTGGTGGTGTCGGGGGTGGGGCAGGGGTGTCCTTCCCTCTTGCTCCCCGCAGGTCTCGGGTGTCCACAAACGCACTGTAGTCGCGCGGTGGTTGTGGTGGTGGTTGCTTGGGTTTCGTCTCGTCTTTCTGTTTCGCCGCAGTGGTTTGGGTGGTTGCTGCTTTCTTTGGGGTCCTTGCAGTCCTTGCTCTCACGGTGGGTTCGACCACGTCGTCTGCGAAGCGCACTTGGCGGGTTCCCTGGGCCGGAGTCGAGCTCCCCCGCTCAACTGTGTTGTTGGTGTCCTGGGTGGCTGTGGTGGTGGGTGGCTCTGCGGCGGGTCGCCTCTTTTGGTCTTGCTGCGTCGGCTGTTGTGGGGGTGCTTTTGGTGGTGTGCGCATTTCCCCGCGCCGGAACTCGCGGGCTGCAGAGGCTGCTTGTTTGTCGACCGTCATTTGCCAGCCGTGGGGGGTGTCTTCGAGGATAAAGCTATCCCCTTCAGCAAGGAACATGCTGTGCGGCCAAAACTCGTCGAGTGGGGGTACACTGGTGACGAGGAATAGCCAACGGTCTGGACCCATGGGGGCCAGGCGGCCGTGTGTGCCAGGTGTAAAGGGTGGGGCTGTGAGTACTGGTCCTGTCTGCTGTAGGTGGGTGACGTGGAGTGGTGGGAGGCCGGCTGAAGCAGTGAGGGGAGTGGGGATGTAGTGTGTGGCTGTGACCTGCACGTCGAAGCAGCCATGGGTGATCGGCAGGTATTCGGTCGTGGTCCCTTCTGCATGTGGAATGCTGGGGGGAATTTCAAGTGTGCTTGAGTTGGGCCCTTGAGGGGCGTTGTCGTATTGCCATTGTTCCTCCGCTGTGTAGATGTGCTTCGGCTTGGGGGGGTTGGTGGAGCCATCTTCGGGTTTGCTGGGTGTCGCCCGGTCGCTGGTAGGCGGCTGGTGAGCATCTGTGGAGCTCGCCCCTGGTGTTGTGCTACTGGCAGGTGGTTTGGGGGTCCCCGGTTGGCCACTGGTTTTACCGAGGAACTTGTCCATGGCTTCTTTGAACCGCTGTTCGGAGGCTGTGTCTGCTTTGGTCCCCCGTGGTGTGTCTCCGTGGTTTTGGTGGTGTTGGTCGTGGTGGTTGTCAGTGGAACTGTGGCTCTTGCTTGCGAGTATGCCCCACCCCGGCCCGTGTTGTGGTTGGGGGTCAGGTCGGGTGAGGGATTCCCCCGCCCATACTCGCTGCTTGAATTGGTGCTTGCCCTCTTTGTTTCCGAGACGTTGAGAGCCGTGTCCTGCCCCGCGTGTGCTTGCTTGTCTGCGCGGCTTACCCAGTGGTTCCCCCCACCCAGGGCGCTCCCATGGGGGGATTTTGTGGTTTGTGGTGTTGGTGTCGGAGCTGTCTTCGGTGGCAGGGTGTCCCGAGTCTGGCGGCGGTCTCGGTTGCAAGAACTGTGGTACTGCTGTAGCTCCTGGGCTGCGTGGTGGGGGCCCGTCTTGGGGGGGTACAGCTTGCAGTGGTGGGGGAGGTTCACTGCAGGATGCATCGATGATGGGAGCATCATCATTGGTTTCGGGGGCAGTATCTGGCGTGGTGGTGGGGTCACCGGGCGGTTGGTCGGGTGGTGGCTGGCAGACACGGAGGAGATAGGCTTCCGGAAGTTTCCCGGTGCTTATCCACTGAGTGTATTCTTGACCCTGCATGCCGGGGAGGGGGCCGGTCCCGGGGGGAGGGAGCCAGGCTTGGATTGTTGGAGGTTGGGGGTTGTTTTGTGTTCCCCCGCAGTGTGTGGTGCTGTGCGGGGAAACGCCGTCGTGGTGGGTGGTTATCGGGGCTGCAGCTGCTGGTTTCGCCTGGCTGGGGGGTGGTGGGTCATCTTGCGGGTTGTTCCAGGGGTCGCAGTCCCAGTCGTATGCTGGATGGTAGCCGTGGATGTCGTTGCTTGTGTGAGGGTGTTGCTCGTGTGCCGTCCCTTGGGTCGGCGGTGTCTGTTGGCCGGGAGGGGTAGCCAGGGGTGTGTGTTGTGTGGTTTGTGGTGGCGGTGTTTGCTGTGGTTGTGGTGGTTGGTGGCTGGTGTGCATTTGCATCTGCTGTGGCAGGCATGCCTGTGGGGCAAGTTGGTAGGCTGGTGGTGGGAAGTAGAAAGGGGGTTGTGGCGGGGCTTGGTTCCCCCCGTTGGGGGTGGCTTGCTGCGTGGCCCAGCCGCCCCACGATGTCACGAAGCCATGTGGAGTGGCATGTGTTGCTGCCCATGCCAGTTGGGTTGGATGCTGATCTGGCGCCCAGTGCTGGTTCAGCCACGGGGGTGTGGCTAGAGAGCTGGTGGGTTGAGGATCCCCCGTGCCGGTGGCAGTGTTGAGTGGCTCACCGGTTGTCTCAAAGGGGGGGGTGTCTGCCGGGGTCGGGGGAGGGGGGGGGGGAGGGGGGGAGGGAGTCTGTGCTGCACTGTAGGGTGTCCCCCACAGCAGGATCGCAAGGGCTCGGATGCGTAGCATGTCCGAGAAGTGCTTGTGTGGTTGTTGCTCTGCGAGTTTGCTTGAGCAGCGACTAGCTTAGGCCGGTCACAAAAGTCTATGTATTTGTGTTGTTGTAGAACATGTCGAGGTAGCATATGTTTGAGCATCCAAGAGTCGAGTAGCAAAATACAGTGCATGTCGGCAGGTACTCTTCAACAGAATGTGAGTGGCAAAACACTGGTTTCTTCACCTTCGCAAACTGCAACAATCGCTGTCCATTGTCCCCCAGCTGTCTCCTGTGCGGGGTCATTCGCTGGGGGTGACTCAGGATCGCTATGTGCTGTCGCATGCAAGAGGCGAGAAAGAGTCGCCAAGTCCTGCAGTAGGCAGTTTAGCCACGTGCCTTTGTTGCTCGTTTCGCACGAGCTTTGGTGGCTGCTTCACGGCGTGGCTTCTTTTGCTTCCTTCCCCCGGTAGAGTCGAGGATGCTAGCAACGAATGTTCGCTCAGCTGTTGTTTGGGATGCAGGGGCGAGGTTGGCAATACTCCCCTGTTTGCCACTGCTCCATGGCACGTCGTATCTCTCAATGAAGACTGCTTCAAGTTCCCCCCAAGCATCCCGATCCTGAGCGATGGCAAACCATTCCGGGCCTGCAGTTTCGCTGAGTTGTCTGTCGATGTCCATGTACGCATTGAAGCGCTGTGCATGCTGTACGGGAATCCCCCGGTCTTTTTGTCGTTGCCACCATCGCAAGCTGTGCCACTGGAAGGTGGCTCCCCCGATAGGGTCACCACGGCAGATGTGGCCAACAGCAGTCCAAATTTGTGAAAGCACAAAGGTAGACCAGCGAAGTCCCCCGCTGTGGAAGAGGGCAAGTCGACTGCGACGGAGACTTCGTTTGTTCCATGTCGCCCATTCCTCGCAAGGTTGCCTCCTCAGGCCCAGCATTGTTCGCACTTGGCCAAGTTGGATGGCATTGACAGATCGGAGCAAATTGCTGTGGCACGGCCATGTTTGGCATGCCCACAAGGCACTTTGCCGTACCAACACCACATGAATTTGCAGCTTTTGACGAAAGGTGGCATCGGAGGTAAACGACTCCCGATGACACCAAAAGGCCTTGCGGGCCCGGCTCTGTGCTTCGGCCAGCAGCATCGCAGTTCCCCCTTGAAAGGAGAGGGGGCTGCCCAGTACGTGGAAAATGTGCTTTGGTCCGTTAGTGAGGACGTCTTCCCCGGCCACCTTAAAGGTCGTCTCTTTGTCCGACGTGCTGATGATGTCGGTTTTCCCCGGGTGTAGGAAAAGTCCTCGTCGTGGTAGTCGTCCGTCCAGCGAACTCAGCATGTGTTGGAAATGCTTGCGGTCTGTGGACCAGATGTAGTTGTCATCCATGTAGCTTCCCCCGTCTTCGGGAGGAGAGTCTTCCCCCGCGGGTTTGGAGGTGCGAGCTTCTGCGATGGCAGCATCCAGATCCACGGCAACCACGGAGCCAAAGGCTACCGGGCTTTCGGGAGCCCCTTGTCGAACTCCATTGCTTTGTGGAATGGGGATACTTTCCCCAGCGATCTCAATGTTGATCTGTTGAGCGTGCAATAGGGATACCCATGCTCGCGCTTCCCAGGGGAGCCTGGCTTTTTCCCCGACTGCGGAACTCACATGCTCTGCAAGACTTTCTTGGTAAATGGAATCAAAGGCCTTTCTGATGTCCAACTTCGCAATGTAGAACTCCATCCCCCAGTCCCTGGCTACACGAGCCAGGCGTCGAAGGATCATAATAAGTTCTATGCCTTGTCGCCCTCGTCGGCACCACTGTAGTCTCGCAGGGGTCTGGATCGAATCCCCCGCTCGTTGGAGCAGTAGTTGGCTGAGGGTTTTGAGCAGAACTGAACTAAGAGTGATGGGTCTGGTTTCACTCCAATCTGCTGGCTGACTGGTCTTCGCAAGAAGGATGGTTGCTCCTGCTTCCACGCTCTCGATGATCCTGCAAGTATAGAGCATATCATTAAAGAGTGCCAGCAGTCGGTTCCCCCAGATCGGGTGGGGGAGCAAGGCTTTAAGTGCCTCGTGCGAAACCATGTCGGGTCCGCAGGATTTCCCATTTTTCCACTTGACTTTCACGGTCTGCAGTTCTTCCATACAGAAAGGCTTCCAGGGAGTGTTTTTGCAAAGTCTTTGGAGCTTGTCCATGATCCCCCGGATGGCGGCCGTCACAACCACTTGTTTTTGGCGGCAGAAGATCTTCTCGAAGTGAAGACGTAGGGCTCCCCGCCAATCGCTGTCTTCGAGCAGGCCTAGCTCCCACGAGTGGTCCCGGGATTGCTCAACCAGGGCTTTTTTCATTCCCCAATCGAGCTCCGCAACCTTTTTCATGGCCAAGTGTCTCCACAGCTTATGTTCCGATTGGTGTAGTTTTCGCGCTTGCTTCCAGAGTCTTCGTCGTTCTACACCGGGTTCTGCGAGCAGTGCTGCACGTCGTAGTTGTCGGAGCTCGTCTGATTCCCGGAAAGGTTTCTTGTCTTTCCCGGGTTTGGTGATGGCAACAGCAACTTGTTGAAGCTGGTGAACGGGATCTCCCCCGGCAGTGGCATGGTGGTCCATGATGCGGTCGACCTCGTCGTGTGATCGTAGTGTTCTGGCCGACCACGGGGCTGGTTGCCTATCCTTCGGTCCATCTGCGATCGTGATGTCTGTCAGTGGAACTGCGATAGGCTCGTGGTCCGAAGTAGCGATGTCCCTCTGCTTCAGAACTCCTCCGGGGTTGCACAGCAGTTTTTTTGCTAGCACATAGTCCAGTCGGCGTGGCTCGAGTCGCGGGTTGTATGGGAAATGGCTCGGCTCGGCGATTTCCTGCTGCGGGAAATGGCATTGATGTTCTTCGAACCATTCAAGGAGCAATTCCCCCCTTGCTGAGGAAGCTTTGATCTGCCGGTTCTGCTGGGCTTCTGAAAATGTTTCGTTGGCATCTATACCGATCACAGCTCTAGAGTGGGATTGAACCTGCGCATGAATGCCCTGTAAAAGCTGCTCGCTTGCGGAAAGAGTGGCATGGTGAGGTAAGTGGATAGAAAAGGCACCTATTCGCAAACCTGAACTGGTCAAGGTGCATGAGATCGAACATGGCAGAATCTTTCCCCGGGTGTGCTGCAGGTTGGAGGTATGGACGATTCCCGTCCCCCGCCAATCTTCGTCTCTCTTCCCGAAGATGATCTGCAGCTCATCCAAGGTGTCATGGTGTTTCCCCACATCGCATATGACTTCTTGTACCGCGACGATGAGGGAACCAGAAAAAGGTCGAATTTTCTGTCGTCGGAGTGCTGAGAGGCATTCCAGTACTTTTGCAGCTGTAAGCCCACCAACATTCCAAGACAGCACATGCAAGTTCGCGGGTGGCTGGCCCATCTCGGGATCTCCCCGCCGCCGTCGCCCTCGTCACTGCAAAGCCTTGCGGAGTTCCCCCCACTTGGAGGAAGCAGCCTCTTCGGATATCCCGATTTGACGTGCGATAGCAGCCAAGTGCACCCAGCCTGCCTTTTCGACTGAGGCACCTTCAGGTGGCGAGGTAACCCCCGAGGCAACTTTGACACTGTTGTACCAGAGATTCGCAGTGCCATATTCCACATCGATATGCCGAATGTCCCCGCCTTCTTCAATGATCAAGCGTTTGACTTTGCCCGCAAGTTGGGCTCGCTTGCGACGTTCGGGGCTTTGGCTGAGGGCGGCAAAGAAGTAGCGGTTTCCCCCTTCAGGTCGCTGGCCTGTGATGATCTTGGCCGCGCGGATCGTCTTCAGCACTTCTTGGACTCGGGCACGTTGCTCCTCATCGCTTTCACCATCATGTTTGATCAGTGGCACGAGGGCAAACCCCCGACGAAGTCCCGGAACGAAGGCCTTGCTCGTATCCAAATCCACCTCAAGGTTTTGGATGTGTTGTTTGACAAGACGTAGGGTCTCTTCATGGTGTTGGTCAGCACTCCATCCCCCGACAACGAGGGCCGGTCTGGCGTGTCCCCCGTCGCTGTCGGTCCTCGTGCTAGAGAGCGAGAAGTTGGCAGAGGCAAATTTCCCCTCGAGGATCTCAAGTCGCTGCAGCACCGAGGCCTGGCGATCATCCACTTGTCGCACGCTCTGTTCCATTGCACAGTGTCGGTCGGTCATGGCTTCGAGGAGTCTGGTGGTATTGGCGACATGTGTGTCCATCGTGTGTTCGACCGTCGTCACTCTGGTGTTGACTGTGTTTTCGACCGTCGAAACTCTGGTGCTAAGCTCGTCGATGTCTTCCCGGACTTGAGCAACGATCTGGTCACGGTTGTCTTTGAGTGCTGCGAGGAGGGTCGACAAGGTAAGAGGTCTTTCGTCTTCCCCCTCATCAGCCTGTGCGGGCCGCTTTCGGCCGGCGGGTTTGTCGCCGTTCTCTCCAGCTCCAGTAGGTGAACAAGGCAATCTCCCCGTCCCTGCCATTATCACGATCTGGTAGATGATCGACTCCCTCACCCAGCGATGAACTTGACGGACAGCTCGCCGTCAAAGTTCCTCACCCACGTAGGTTCGCCGATCGGGGCAACGGCGATGTCTGACAATCTCCCGAAAGAACAGCGCAAGGACACCGTGCGGGAACAAACTTTACTACCTCCCCCGGCGCAACGTGCAGGTCGAGGTCGCAAAGTAAGTTCGTGGCCCCCCTTCAGCTCGAATCGCCACTCAACAAGGCCCTTTCTCTGTCACTCTGAAGTCAATGCGTTTCCCCCTGGTTGCTCCCCTGTTACTTAGCGGGCTCGGGGCTCGAACCACTCGCGGCTTGAGCCAAAATGGCTCTCTCTCTCTCTCTCTCTCTCTCTGTTCTTCCTCTGGGCTTAGAGGGCTGTTTAGGCCCTCCGGCCGCATGGGCCCCCCACTTGTTATGGGGACTTTGGGAAGGCGTGAGAAAACCAGTTAGTCCCCCAGTATGTTTGGATAATTGTTTCAACCTAAGAGAAGACTGGGTTCGTAACCGGTGTGTGTTGTCTCTCTCTGTCTCTGTATATATTTATATACATTTTGGTACATACATATATACATATACTTGTATGTATACATATATATATATATATATGTGTGTGTATCTGATTGTTTATATACCTACGCATGCATACATTACATTACATCACACTGCATGACATTACACTACACTACATTACCACATATATATATATATATATATATATATATATACATACACATACGAATATGCCTTTGTGTGTGTGTATGCATGAATGCACACGGCTGGCGCTCTTCCAGGAAGTGGCAGGCGAGGCACAGGAACTGGGTCAAGGACCTGTTTCGCAGTTCCTCCGTGGAAACTGCGAATGCGAGGAGACGTCATGACTTGGGGCAGGTGGGTTCGGAACATTTAGGGTTCAGGGGCTCAGGGTTGAGGAGCTTTAGCTTCTGAGCTGTTGGGTTCGGGATGGATAGCTTATTCGGGGTGAGGGCTGTTCAGACCATAGGCGCGTGTCAGTGCGACTGCACACCAAAGAAGCATGTTCGAAGGGGCAGTGGTGGAGATCTTCGGCGCTAAACCCTAAACTAAGCCCCAAGATCAAAAACCCTGAACATCCCTGAACCCCAAACCCGTAGACATTTCGGGTTCTCGGTCGAAGGATTTGCGTCCGCTCCTCTGCCTTCACTCCAAAGAAGTGTGCCAGCTTCTGCGAGGGATCCACGAAGAAAAGGTCTTCGCCTAAATACCTCACGGGGATGTTTAATTGGTGCTCAATTGGTGCTCAAGAAGACGTATTGAAAATAAGGGACACTCTATATCACTGCGGAAAACGGGGTAATTACTATGAATAAGGGACACTGTATACCTATAGGAGGTCGATACGTGGTATTGTGAATACGGGCACCATGAAGTTTACTCTAACGGGTACCAACAAGGATTGTAAGGTGATAAGGGCACCTTCCTCACGGGATACTATGGGGAGACCGCGTTTGGCATCCGACATAAGAAGCGTGAACAGTGAATGTCTAACTTGTAGCCTCAACTATCCGCAAGGCTCGGCGGCGCTGACTGACTGAAAGAGTCGGCGGAGTCTTTCAGTTTTTGACTACAGTAGCTATGGACAGATCAAGCCATCCGCACCGGTCGGTCTCTACCCTTAAGTCAACACTCGGGCTGTGGCTTATGGTGTAGGGTTTAGGATGCTTGATGTCTTGTGCTTCTGTACGACAAGGAACGCTTCCGCATCGCACTGGCTGGACAGAACTGCGCGGAACGCCGCAAGGGATGCAGATGTGTCTGCAGACTGGATCGTCAATGAGGTGAACTGCCTGCAGAGTTGCTTGAAGATCCGGAGTTTCGTGCCGTGCTTTACTTGCATCGCAGGTCTACAGATGGTCCCGAGATACCGGCAAACCAGTGCCTGCACTCAACGCCATCTACTTCAGACTAGGGCGCCCTTTGATGAAGTGTCGGGTCGAGAATCAACATCGGACGTCGAGTTTCTCGTACAACCCCCCCTTGTACCCTCCCTTTTCGAGACCAGAGGCTGCACGAAATGTTCCAGGGCATACCAGATGACCCACCTCGCCACAGCAAGACCAGGCTGAGACGGGAAACTCTAGACTCTGCACTTACACCTGTAATCCCTGTTTAGCTGCTCAGGCCAGCTGATGACCGAGTCGTTAAACAGTTCATTGCTCGATTAACTCGTCACTCTTACCTGATTGGACATGTTCTACTGTCCCAGCTAGACTATAGTCATTCGCAATCACAATGACGCTTCCGCACCAACTACGGAGATGACTCTGTGGAAGCGGACGCATGCGGACGCCTCGACATGGAGGAGAGCAGCATCAAGCAGACCTCGAGTGGGCCTCCCGTGAAGCCTGACAAGTTGTGACATCTCAGACTTATCAAAAGTGTTTAGGACTTCCGAAACTTAAACAGGGCGTTAGAGGGGCTTCGCAAGTCACCAAAAGGGTTTAGGTTTTTTGAGCTTGAAGAAACTAGGGGATTGAGTTGAAACTTTGGGCTGCAAGGAGGTTACGACCTCTAAGTTTAGGATTCCACTATAGGCGCTCAATCACACCGTTCAGGGCCCGGGTTTAAGCCAGGAGCAAGACTCTTTGGAGTCTTGGTGGCTGCCGGGTAGTACTAGCCGTAGTAGTAAGGTGAATATTCGCAATGGATCCAGCGCAAGATAGCCGTTTCTGTTATAACTGTTGGGTGTTAGCCGCTGGCTCGGGGAGCTTTCGCTGAAGTTCCGCTGAAGACGGCGGAACTTAAGTGCCAAGGCCCAGGTACTACCGCCGCTCTTGAGGAGCTGCAGGCCGATAAAGAAGAACTCCTCGGAGGCTATACGGTTTAGGGGGTTTAGGGAAGTTTAGGGGTTTTGGGTTAAGGGAAGGTTAGGGGTTTAGGGAAGTTTAGGGAAGTTTAGGGGTTAAAGGGGTTAAGGGGGTTTAGGGTTTAGGGCGTAGGGGTTTATGGTCAAATTCCTTTCGACTAGGACATGTAGGGCATCATTACAGGAGCCAACTGGTCTGGTTTGGATTTTAGAAGCTTTGGGCTTTGGGGTACCTTAAGGCCTGAACCTCGAGGAAATACTGGTGCAGACTACGCAGGAACTCTGGCTGCGGACCGGCGGACAGCAATTCTCCTGGTCGGGCCTGTGAGGGTTTGGTGGTGAGTGCTTCCGAACCCACTTCGAGCGCATCCTGCCGAGCTAGCTGGACAAAGAAGCGAGCGACCCACAATCGAATTACGACCGCTTTAGTTGTTTCAGTGGCACAAAGAGGAGGGTGTGGGGATCAAGCCAGGATGACTTCCGAGCGGCGCAGCCCAGTGCCTTCCGATGGTCGCAGAAAATACATCCCGCGAAAAGCCGGCAAGCTATGAAGAGCTCCTCACTGAAGCATCGCGGCGAGATCTTCAACTTCAGACCACAAGGCTGCAAGACATCATTCTCATTCCCGGGCCGAAACTACTCTGTTCCTCACAACCTTGGCTACAAGCGGGGTCGCAGGGCAAGAGTCACCACCTGCTGACACTATTGGGTTGTTTGCCGGTGTGATGATAGCGACTCTTTCTCCTATGATCTGTTTGACCATGGCAAAGCCATTCTTGCTGCTACAGTCCAGATTGTGATTGCACATACTCTGCTACAACTTGTTCTCCTCCTGCTCCCTCTACTGCCACTCCTCCTCTTCCTTTAGCCTTCCTGCTGCCACCACTTCTATTGCTACTACCACTACCTCCACCACTGTTGTTGTCGTTGTAGATACTGCTGCTGCTACTAGTGCTGCTACCACCACCATCACCGCCACCACCACCACCCCCACCCCCCATCATTACTACTACGACTACAACGACTCCTACTACGACGACGACTACTGCTACTAGTACTCCTGCGGCTGCTACTACTACTACTACTACTGCTACTACTACTCCTGCTGCTGCTGCTGCTGCTGCTGCTGCTGCTGCTCCTGCTCCTGCTCCTGCTGCCACCACCGCTACGACGACGAAAACTACGGCTACGACTGCTCGTACTACTACTGCCAAAGTCTACAGGTATTGATTTACAGTCTACTTATTTGTTGACTGTTTATATGTATGTATATGTACATCTACAAACGTTACACCTGTGTGTGGCACAAATGAAGTGAACCACGAAGTCTTGAGGTCGTCCCGCGTCCTCGCGGTAGGCCATTCTATCGGACCACGAGCTAATACAGAATTGTCCCAGGATCAGCGTGCCGTTCAATACCTTCGAGATGCAGCCGGTGGGTCTAATGCCCAGGATTCTGTCTTCAGATGCGCAAACTCCGCTTTCACAGGCTCTTGTGCAACGGTGCCGAAACCACACGTGTAAACTTGACATGTATCTAAAGCTGTGGGGGGAACACTGTTCCTACAAGGCATACGCAAAATAAACCATGCGGAGGGAAGTTTTGGGTTTCAGGCTTCGACTTTTGAGATTCTCCGCAGAAACGCATCCCCAGCTTATCGGTACTGCTGGAAGCCTTGAAGCCTGAGGCAGCGGCAATTCCAAGCGTTGTGTTGCTCAGGTCGCTAAACTCCACGAAACCGCTTTGGAAAAGCGAACACAAGTACCTGCAGGGTTTTGGCGGCACTATCACATCGACGAAAACAACAACAACTACTACTGCGACGACTACTACTGCTGCTGCAACGGCAATGCTACTGCTGCTAGTGCTACTGTTACTGCAGCTGTTTCCAGCACTGATACTGCTGCTCCTGCTTCTGCTTCTGCTTTTGTTGCTGCTACTCCTCTACTACTACTACTACTACTACTACTACTACTACTACTACTACTACTACTACTACTACTACTACTACTACTACTACTACTACCACTACTACCACTACTACCACTACTACCACTACTACCACTACTACCACTACTACCACTACTACCACTACTACCACTACTACCAACTACCACCACTACCACCACTACTACCACTACCACCACTACTACCACTACAACCACTACTACTACTACTACTACTACTACTACTACTACTACTACTACTACTACTACTACTACTACTACTACTACTACTACGGACTACGACTACTGCTACTTCTACTACTGCTGCTGCTGCTGCTGCTACTGCTACCGCTGCCACTGCTCCTGGACGCTGACGACAATTATCATTGTTCTTAGTATACATTACTACATAGGGTGATTATACATCATAAGTTATCCGTATGCATGGATGAGCAACATGATCAAACTATGAGCAGTTTCCGACATTACTAGTCTGGATAAGTATTCCGACTCCTGCTCCTGTAACTTCTATAACTCCAACTACTTTGGGAAACAAGCACAACTATCTCGAACCTTCTTCAAACCCTCAACCTGTGGCCGGGTGGCGTAACAAGAAGATGGACTGGCATGAGCAGGCGATCGAAGTCTGCCACCCTTTCCGGGCTCATCCTGGCAGCCTCCAGGAGAATAAGTTACAGTAGGGGTTGGGGGCTTGAGCGGCCTTCACAGCTGTTGCGTTTCAGCTTCTGACAAGCGTCTCTCAGTAGTTCAAGAAGTACAGAATGACGATGCGACAAACCATTCGCAAAAAAATCCAAAAAATTAAAGGTCTGCAAGAGAACAGCCGGCACGCACGCTGCTGTACTGTACTGCGGCTGACTGACATGCTCGCTTGCGAGTCCAACCCTCGTTCTGGCAGGGTATGTCAGAGGGAAATCTTGTTGAATGTATTCGATGAAAACAACAGAAGCGGCGGAGTGTTGGGGCAAAGGATTCTAGCCTTGCGATAGCTCGCACTCGACACACACACACACACAGAAACACACATATTTTAACGTACCTCATGACATGTTCCTCAGAATAAGGATCTAACTGCATGGGTCCGAACGAATATTCTTCGAGCCACAGCACCATCGCAAGCCTCAGTGGCTTGAACAACCTCAAGCCCAAAAATCGAAAACCCCGCAAAACTCCCCAGACCCGAATCACTCAACCCCTTGCTGTACACCTGAGACGAAGAACCCTCGAACTGTGCGATACATTCCCAAGTCGGGAGTGCAGGACATTCAAGGTGCCTGCACCCACACGAAGAGCAAGTAGATTAGACCTCAGCTTATTAGTGGACACCTTTGTCAGTGGCAAAGGTGTAAGGGTTTGGGGGTTTACGCAAGCAGTCAGAGCGGACGATCCGGGCGACATGCACGCAAAGATCCCTACAACGGACTATATCGGCGTATCGGTAAATCGAATTCCTAATTTGCACTCTGTGTGAGCTTGGAGCACATGTAAGCATTCCAAACAAGAGTACAATTGTCAACTGGCGTGGCTCGTGCATAGGTGTGGCCATCTAGTCTTCTACACAGCCGTTGCCTCACCGGACGAATTTCCGGATGGTGTGTGAACGTTTGGTCATGTTTGGTCCGCAGTCTCGAAGAATGCCGCAGCGGACGAACTCCAATGCTTCCGCGCTCGCGAAGTTGATGAATCGGGCTCCCGCCACAGTCGAGATGCTGTTTGCCTCCTCGGGCTCCTTGCTGTGGTCTCGAACCCGCCGTCCTAAGGGCTCTCGGATTTGGCGAAGTTCGGCATGTGCTCCCGCCACAATGCTGTGTTCATCTTGGGGTGCGCATGGTGTTGAAGCCACAGTCCCCGTGAGTGTTCCACTCCTGTCCTGAAGACTTGCTCCTGCCACACAGCGCTGCACCCCTTGGCAGCGACGCGTGTTTCTGCCTCCAAAGGCACTCCCACCACAGTCCGGTTCTGTTGTGCCAATCGTGATCCCGCCGCACTTCGGCGCAGGTTGGACTCATGTACTTCAGGGATGCTTCTGGAAATGCTCTTGGTTTGTGGCACTTGCATTGGCA